TTTTCCTCGCCTTCTGAACCCTCGTCCCCTCCCTGCCCGCAGCCGGGAAGGGGAGTGTTTTCAGCTAGGGGAGAGGTTTTTTTCCCTGAGCGCCCGGGTGCATCACGTCGGATGTGTCAGGGATGTGTTGCTGTCGTGCCTGGGAGCTGCCTCGTCTCTCTCCCCCGCAGGTCTGCCTCGCTGCTCCTCTTGTCCAGGAGACAACGTGGCTGCCCCACCAGCGATAAACCGGGCTGCCCTGCTCAATTCCCCCTGCTGAGGTGCCAGGCGTGGTGCCCTGTGCATTGGGGCACCTTCTGCTGATGGACAGTAATCAGGTGGCTTTTTGCCAGGGGGTTGTAGCAAGAGGACAAGGGGTAATGGGTTAAAACTGGAAGAGGGAAGATGTAGGTGAGACATGAGGAGGAAATTCTTTGCTGTGAGGGTGATGAGAGCCTGGCCCAGGTTGCCCAGAGAAGCTGTGGCTGCCCCATCCCTGGCAGTGTTGAAGGGCAGGTTGGATGGGGCTTGGAGCAACCTGGGCTGGTGTCCCACCCATGCAGGGGACTTGGATCTAGATGATCTTTAATTCCCCTTCCAACCCAAGCCATTCTATGATCCTATGAATGAGAGAACTGGGATATAGTCAACCAAGAGTTGAGACCAAGCAACTGAATTTGGGAGAATAGTTTTTATACAGATTCCTTTGACTTTGCACAAGCACATTTGCAGGATGAAGGAGTGAAGATGGTACAATGTACTCAGCCTATTTTTTTGTTACCTTTAAAAATTGCAGTTATTGTAAAGCCTACTCTTGCAGGGTTAAAATTTTACTTCTGAAATATCAGAAGTTGAGAGTGGAGAAAGAAAATAAATGCAATTGTGCACTTGGCTTTGGCTTTGCCTTCTGGGTGGCTCTTGACACTTCAGTTTCACATGGAAATGGTAAACAGTAGCTATGTTGCTAAATAATTGAAAAGCATGCATTTGGATTCCCTGTCTCTGAAGAGAGAGTCAGGAATGTGGTAAGGGATGAGAAGCCCTAACCACTAAATGAACTGGTGTTCTGGCACAATTAGGGCTTACAGGCTTTCTTCCCTGAAGTGGAGGAACTGGCATTGTATGTTGTACACTGATGGTTTGTTGCAGCCTGCTTCTTGTTTCTGGAGCAGCGTCTGCTTTGGTTTAGTTTTCAGGTTCAAGGTTTTTCCAGACTTTATTGCCTTTGGGAAAGCATGTTATGCAGGGCAATGTTTCTCACCTTACTAACAACTTCACCTTTTAAAAACACACCCAAGGGCTGCCTTATCTTTTTTGAAAAAAAATAATCTGCTGATCATCTTGAGCAGAACTGGTCTGGTGGTTTCTATTTGCCACCAAATAAAATATAGGGCAAGCCTGAAATGGTGTGTTTTACCCTCCTCTGTTTATATACTTGAAGGTCTGGGTATAGCTTTTGGTTTCCTCCTGTGAACCATCTCTTGCCATCTCATGAGTTTGTCCCAGTAAGAAACCTTGATGTAGGGTGGATGGAAGAGCTTTGACATGTCCATCAGCCCGTGTTGAGACAGTTGACAAGGGCTGCTCTGGAGAGCACTGACTTAAAATGTGCTGTCATTCTGGAATGGGTGTTGTGCTCCTGTCTGTCTGCACTAAGAACAATGCCTCACCTGTTTTTTTTCTGACTGTTATTTTAGCTCTTGGTTTACTTTGAGAGGTTGCTCACCACTCCTGAAGATTTTCTTAGTAGTGTCCATCTGTTACTAAAAACACTGAAGTTTCACATACTGTTTCTGCTTTCCAATCTCTCTCTCAGTGTTGAATTTCAATATCAGAGCTCCTTCAGACTTTACAGGCAGCTGATCCCCCCACCCAGACACTCCTGTTAATGCTTAGGTCAGCCATGAATCAATCCTCCTTATTCCTAGTAATGATTGCTCACTCACTGTTTACACACTGATGTAGCTGCAGGTGTTGGGCAGACTGAAATTTTGGGGAGGCTTCCAGTCTGGCAGAGGGCTGGTTTCCTTTGAGGGTGTTTCTGAGGCCAGTGTGCTGGCATGAGAGGTGAGTCTGGGCACTCAGAGTTACCTCTTTGTTGCCTGGACAGACTTTGAAGCTGCTCTTTCATTCCTGTTGAACTGCTGCTCACCCAACAGCCTTCAGGACCAGAATCTGTATCTAGCAGAGTTCCTGATCTCTGTGGGGTGGCTCCAGAGGTGGCTTCCAAGTGCAGAGCAGCTTCAGGTCCTTCTTGGCTAGCAAGTGCTTGGAGGTGCCATCTGTGGCACTTCAGCCTCTCTGGTTTCTTGAGAATAAAGGCCCTGAGGCTCCCAGGTGAGGTTTGAGTCTGTGTGAGCTCCAGAAGCCCCAGTCCTTGTTTTCTGGGCAAAAGATGGGGGAGAAAGCACCTGACCAGCATATACTGCTTCCAGAGCAGATGCTGGGGATGGCTGGCCTCACCTGGCTGCCAGCTACATGCTCCAAGTGCTCTGGCAAGGGTGACTCTGGGTGCCACAGGCAGGTAGAGCCACTAATCACTTGTGCAGGGCGACTGCAAGGAAGCATCTGCTGGGGCAGGGAAAGGATCAGCTTTCCATCAGCCTGGGGCTGCTGTGGGATGGCTGGAAGAGCAGGCAGCTGCCAGTGAAGTTGGTACAGGCTAAAAGCAACTCCTCAGCCACTGTAGTTTTCCCTTCCCTGTGCCTTACTGTAGCTGCAAGTGGGAGATGCAGAAAAGAGTTTGCTTCTTGCCTGCCCAGCTGGGCAGCAGATGATGGTGGGTCTGGGATGGAGCCTGAGGCAAGAGAAGGTGCCAGATCCACTGCCCAGGGGACGTTTCTGTGATGCTGGAGGAAGCAGAACGAGGTGGGGAGAGACAGACCAGCAGTCCAGGGGAGAGCAGACTGACAGAAGCCTGGGACAGAGGTAAAGGAAGACTAAGCCAAGGCCCAACCCAAGGGTTGTGCATAGTCCACGTGCGGTGTGTTTCAACCTGTTACACACACAGGTGGGAGATCCCTGCTGAGGGATTGAGCATGGCTGTTGTGCAGGGCCAGCCAAACATCCTCCTCACTGCTTACTCAGCAGCCAGAACTGCTTGTGTGGAGCCTTTCCTGGCGGCTCCCTTGCATCTCTTCCCACTGGGCAATCCCAGCCCTGCCCTCCTGCCAGGCTCCCACACCTCTGCTGGGTGGGGTGCTCCCTGAGTCACAAGGGCCAGCAAGCACGTGGCACATGTTTGAGACTGCACTGGTTTATGTTTCGTCTTCAGCAACTGTTCTAGTCGTTGCAGGCTGGAGATGTTGATAAATGTTTTGGGGATGTGGGGGGGAAAGTGTTTTAAGGCACCACCCATCACAGGGCTTGTCTGAGGTGTTGTGCTCACCTGCTCCGACAGCAAGAATTGTGGTCTAAAAATGGGGTGTCTCTGGCTGCCTGCAGGGGTGAAGGAAACAGGTGGCAGGTGGTCAGGGAGCAAGAGGGAACTTCTAGGGTGAAGGACATGCCCTGCCAAGTGGTCTGACACTGCCCACGTCCCGTGCCTTAAAGCCAGTCAGTGCTGTGTGCTTTTGGGGGCTTAGATCTTGGTCTCTGAGGAGACCTGGCTCTCAGTGCCATTTTCTGAACTCCTTTGGTTGTGCACCTTGGTAGGTTGGTCACATACAGGTGGTGTCACCAGGCCTGGCTGAGCTTTCTTTCTCAGCAGCCTGGTGGCTCAGGAGGCAGAGCAGGCAGGTAAGCAGGCCAGCGATGCCTCAGTGGCCACATGAAGGCAAGGGAGACTGCTCATTTCTGCACAGTCTGACTGAAATCTTTGGAGGAAGGGCTTTTCCCTCTCACTTGGGCAGAGCTTGAGTTTTCTCTGGCACTTGCCCTTTGCCTGTGCTGCCCCACAGGCATGTTCTTGGTGGCAGGTGGCTGAGTCTCCCACCAGTGCTCCTCCAAACTGAGCAGCAGGTATCTTGAGAACTCCTAAACATTGTGGGAGCATCTGCAGTGCTTCACCCTGGATTATTGTTAGGGTGATGTTTTGTTTGATGAACTGGTCACTAGGTGTAGCAAAGGCAGGCCTGACACAGGTGGTACGTGCTGCTCCAGCTGGGGGCTGGTTGAGTGCTCTGATGTTACCAGAGTTGTCATTCCCATGGAGTGACATATATCTACTGAGATGATCCACAAATCTTTTTGTAGGCCACTTTTAGACCCCACGTATAAGCTGCCTGCCTCAAAGGATGCCAGGTTGCCAGGAAATAAAAGCTGTGGTTGGTTGTTTTTCTGTTACAGTTTGATGAGTGCTTTTTTTAAAATGTTGAAACAGCTTTAAATTGGGTAACTGGATTAGCAAATTGCTGCTGGTTTTTACAGGGGTGACTCAGGCTAGTGGAAAGCTTAATTGCTATGCTGTTATTCTTCATTAGCATGCAAAATGCAAGACAGAATATGGTCCATGTGTGAAGGTGAGGCAGTGGCCTGCAGTGGGAGCACAAGAAATAGAAGTGAAGCTCCAAGTGAGGAGTCTGGACAAAACCAGTTTGCTGCTGTGGAGGAGAGCATTCTGGCACATAGTGGAATTCCCTTCACTCCCCCTTGGATCAGTGTGGATGAGTCCAAAATATCAAAGCCCTTTTTTTAAAAAAAAAAAAGCTGTTTCCAAAATACTAATTGCTGCTCTGGAACAGTCTGGATCTAGAGCCTGGATTCCTTCCCACTCTGTCCAGGGTGGCAGGAGGAAACTGGCAGTTGCCTTTAAGGTGCTCTATGCTTGACCCAGGCTATTTTTCCTCCACTTCCCCATTTGGTGTGACTGTGTGCTCTGAGGGCAAGTGCTCCATATCTGCATTCCTTCTTGGAAGAAGGGCAGGGACCTTCCTTTCCACAGTGTCTTCCCCATTTGGTGTGACTATGTGCTCTGAGGGCAAGTGCTCCACTTCTGCATTCCTTCTCGGAAGAAGAAGGGCAGGGACCTTCCTTTCCACAGTGGTAATTAGAATGCTTTTATTTCACTTGATGTGTGGATTTTACTGAGTTATCTTAGGGCTCTGGAAATGCATCCAGGCAGCTGGCTCATGTTTCTCACGTGGCTCTTTCATTTCTCTCTGCACATCATAATATATTTTGCCTAAATTGCAAAGGCTGAAGTAGCACCTTTGCTTTGGGATCAGGGAGGCTTTTCCTTGAGGCTTGCAGGGTTTTACTCCCTTTCCTGGGTCTGATTGCTGAGATGCCTGTGACTTTGGTCACCTGCTGCAAGAGAGGTGATACCACTCTCTGTTTGCTGTCCCACAGAGCTCAGCACCCCTTAGGCTGGTTGAGTGCTTTAGAAATAAGAAAAAGGGGAGGACTTGTTTATCTTCCAACTGCCTGTTTGCTTCCAGCCTCTCCTGGGGAGGTTTTGTGCCCTCACTTGGCACTGCACTCTGCCACACTCCAGAGGAGCTGCCCGTGCCAGTGATTCCGGGTTTATTCTGCTTGTCTCTGCTTCCTGCTTTCTTGTGCACAGCAAGAAGGCAGAGGTGGGACAGTAGCTGGGCTATGTCATTTCCGTGCTGTCAGCTGCCAGGATTTTGCAAGCTTTCTGGGACAGAAGTGGCATGAGGGTTTCTTAACACCACCTATGGCAGACAGCCCATTCTTTGCTTCATAAACCAACAATACCTGTTTAAAGCAACTGCCTTGGTCTTAACCCCCTGAATTTGTATGATACTGGGGAATGGCAGCTTGCCATGTGTTGCATTGCTACATCAGCATCCAGGAAAAATCCCTGGCATGCTGCTGAGAGTCAGTGAGAAGTAATGCTTGGTTTTGGCCAGGGTGATTTCCCCAAGGACTCATCAGGGGTTGTGGGGGAAGCAAAACTACTTTGTGTTGTTCAACTTTGTCATCCAGACAGTAATCTACGTGTCAGAAAGCCATAACTGAATTGGTGCTTCTCTCCTCTCTCCTCTCTCCTCTCTCCTCTCCGGTGGGCTCAAGGTTGGATGGGGCTCTAAGCAACCTGGTCTGGTGGGAGGTGTCCCTGCCCATGGCAGGGGGGTTGGAACTAGATGATCTGGAAGGTCAGTCCCTGAGCTGGCCCTGTGCAGGGCACACATCCATCACAGCAGCCACCATCCACTGAATCCACCCTGGATTTGGCCCTAATGGAAATATCTGTGATCTGTACAGCTCTGTCTGATGTGTGGACAAGGGCTGGGTGGTTTCTCTGTGTGTGACAGAGCCTAGTTGGATGTGTCTGTCAGCTCTGCTTTTTGGAGACAAAAAATGCTTTTTGGAGTGTCAGAAAGCACTGGCTAAGTTGCTCATATTCAGTTGCTTGTTGTTTTTTTTACCCAACAGGTCACTGGTCATTTAGATGACTGCACTTGTGATGTAGAGACCATTGATGCCTTCAACAACTACAAACTTTTTCCTAGATTGAATGAACTTCTGGAAAGTGACTATTTTAGATACTATAAGGTAATTTTCTCAAGAATTTTTTATTTGTTTTATGAGCTGTTTGTTTGGTTTTTTTTATCTGTCATGAAGTTATTGCTGATCTTTTTGAAATCAGATATGTGCATTTTAATCTTGTTCTTCTAAAAATGCAGTAGGGAAGTGGGACTCCTCTGTTATCAGGAGAGTCTGAATGAGGTATAACATGCATGTAAGATGCATGATTTTAAAGAGACTTATTTTTCTGTACAGAACTGTTAAAAAAGCTTCTAACTTCACTGCACTGCAAATTAGAACAGGCCCATATATAAAATCACTGAGGTAGAGCTGCCTTTCCATGCTCCCCCTTCCTTCAAACACACAAAGTCTTGTTCTATGTTGATTGCTTTGGAAGAATGATGCTTCCTCCCAACTCACAGAAAAGAAAGACTAGGATTTGTTGAAGAAGTTCATGTCCTTTCCCATTCCAGTGTTGGGATCTGTAAGAGAAATATTAAGGTTGGTCTGAATGAAGCATGAATGGAGATGTCTGTGTGTGAAAGCACCAGAAGAAGCAGCACAGCAAGGGTTAGAAGAAGCTGTACTGATAAGAAGGACATGAGTAAGGACAATTAGTCTGGTAAACATCAATGAATGATTTGTTCCCATCAAGCCCAGAAGGCCTGCACACCTGAAGGCTTGCACACCAACAAGTCCAGAACACAGATGACTTGTGTTCTGGCCACAAGAGGATGGCAGCAGGGCTCCAGCACATCCTCTTCCTGCACCTCTAACAAGGAGGCAGGCTGTATTCCTAAGATTCCCAAAACAAGGAAACAAAACCAATGGGAAGCAGACTCCTCTGAAGATTACAGGGAATTAAGTGAGCAATATTCCAAGATTGTCCCAAAGTAACTGGTGGCTCCTGAAGGGTACAAAGCATCTGGTCAAAACCCAGTTTGTTGTTGCTCAGTGGGAGCCTGGGGATGTGGGTAGGAAACTGTTACCAGCCAAGCTGCACAGGCACACACATCTCCTGTGAGAGACAAGGGAATGAGTGTGACCAGCTTTGTCTGAGATAAATCACACTATCTGTTTCCACTTGCACTGCTCTCAACTGTGCACTGAGTTTTGTTATCTGGAGCCTTGCACTGAGGCACTGGAGATGTGTGTTGGGGAACAGAGGTGGGGCAGGTTGGCTTGGTTGCCTGGAAGGAATGTGTAATAGGACAATATGTTCTTTGTAGGTAAATCTGAAGAAACCTTGTCCTTTTTGGAGTGACAACAGTCACTGTGGAGTAAGAGACTGTGCTGTGAAGCCCTGCCCATCTGTAAGTGCCAATCCAGCCTTTTGCCTCTTTTCAGCCAGTGACTGACTCTTCTTGTTCTGTTAACTGTAGTAAAACTATAGCTCTGATGGGGCTCCTATGTGCAGTGGTGCTGGTACCCAGGAGAAAGGCCAAATGATCAATTATGAAAGTGTAAAGAAAAACTAGGCTCTGAACAGCTGATTCTCCATGAATGGCCAAAAACTTGTCCTGGTCCCTCTTTTATTTTTGGAATTAGTGAGCTGGGTTTGGGACAAGTCCTCTGTTGTTACAAGAAGTGCCTCTTGTGTTAATTGCCAGAATATTCACCCTGTTGGCCCACGAGCTACACTGTGATCTGCAGTTCTGGCTGACAAATTTGACAAGGCCCTTCCCAGCCCTCTCTACCTGAAACAGCTCTTTCAGAGCTCCATGTTTCTCAGCACAAAAGCAACCACAAATCCCAGACAAAAGGGTTTTGTTGAACTAAAACCACCTTGACTGCAGATGTCTGCCTGAAGAGAAGGGGTTGAGAAAGTGAGTGAATCACAGCTTGGCTGCTGGGTTGGCTTTGGGGGTGGCAACTAACAACAGAGATCTCACATTCTCATTCCTGGTCTCTGGAGCAGTCATGTGCAGGAAAAGGGTGCTCAGGGGTACACTGTGCCCGTGGTGTGATGAGTGCTCTCAAGGAGAGGCCTCCTGACCCTCCTCACAGGCATTTTTCCAACTTGCTGGTTTATTTCCATGTACAATTTCATGTATCCTGCAATGGGGCAGGTGTCTGTCCCCCCTCACACTTGGTTAACTCCTGATGTAGTGTAACTGTTGGCTGAAAAAAGTGTCTAAGCTGATGTGGCACCTGGAAACAATCTGGTGCAGGTGTGTGTGTGGGGGGGCATCACTTGTTACCTACAATCTGGTATGTATGTTCAATTCATCCCTCAAACAAGTGGCCTTTGCTTCCCTGGTCTTCAAAGAGTACCTATTATAGGACCCAAAATGGAATGATGATTTATGTTTTTCTTTTCTCAACCCTAAATTCTGTTTAAATATTCTATTTTCCTGAAAAAAATCTGGGTTTGGTAATGAGAATGACCCATGTGACAGAGTGATGTTCCAATCACATCAATATTAGCTAGAATTGGTTCTTATTTTCAGAACTGACTGTGTCACTGCTGGTTTTAATTCTTTTGATTTGGGTCCATTTCAGTCTGAAAGCAACAAAAATAACTCTTATTCATTGCTGAATTTCTCTCTTCCCATGCTGCTTGCCAGCAGTGTTGGCTTCTGCAGCACAGGACTGGTTTTATTGCCTCCCTACTGGTGGAGGAAATGGAAGTTGAGGAGAATTTAGGGCCTCATTTCAGTGAAATCTAGACAGACTGGAGAGCTGGGCAAAGATGAGCATAATGAGGTTCAACAAGAATAAGTGTAGAATCCTGCACCTGGGGAGAAAAAAACACTGTGCACCAGTATAAATTAAGGGTTGACCTGCTAGAAAGCAGCCCCATGGAGAAGGACCTTGGGGTCCTGGTGGACAATAAGTTAATCATGGGACAGCAATGTACCCTTCTGGCCAAGAGAGCCAGTAGTATCTTGGGATGTAATAAGAACAGTGTGGCCAGCAGGTCAAGAGGTTCTCCTCCTTTTCTGCTCTGCCCTCATAAGAGCACATCTGGAGTATTGTGTCCAGTTCTGGGTTCCCCAGTTCAAGAGGGGCAGGGATTTACTGGAAGGAGTCTAGTGGAGGCTACAGGGATGATGAAGGGACTGGAAAGGCTGGGAGACCTGGGCTGTTTAGTCTTGAGAAGAGTAAGAAGGGACCTTATTAATGTCTATCAGTGTCTGCAGGGTGGGTGCCAAGAAAGGGCCAGTCTCTGTTCAATGGTGCCCTGTGATAGGGTGAGGGGAATCAGCACCAAGTGACAACAGAGGAAGTTCCTCCTCAACATGAGGAGAAACTTCTGTGAGGGTGACAGAGCCCTGGGACAGGCTGGCCAGAGAGGTTGTGGAGTCTCCTTCTCTGGAGACTTTCAAGACCCACCTGGAGATGTTTCTAAGTGGCCTGCCTCAGGTGATCCTGCTGCAGCATGGGGGCTGCACTTGATGATCTTCAGAGGTCCCTTCCAACCCTTGTGATTCTGTGATTCTATGATTGTCTTATGCTGCTGCTGGGGTGGTGTGGGGCTGGCAAGCCTGATGTTACGTGATGGAGTGGGAAGAGGGATGTTTCTGAGTGACACAGGTCAGGGTCTGGGAGGTGTGATATCTGAGGAGGTGCCTGGGATCCTGCCAGCAGGGCCAGGATCACCAGGAGACAGGATGCCAGACATCAGCTGACTCCAGCTCCTCTGGAGTTTATATTGGCTTCTCCAGCCCCACACTTGGGTAAGCAAAACACAACCTGATGTGGCACCCAGGGAAGGCTGCTGACTTTTGGAGAGGAAGAGTCTTGTGAAAAATCAAAATAGAGCACCAAGAATATTGCTCAAGCTTAGTCTGTGGAGGAGCCAAGAACCTGGATGTGTTGTAAGCTGAGATGAATGTTTTGGTAACTTTCTAGCTTAGAGAATCTGTGGTAACTTTCCTAATCTTTCTCCAAGATGAGGCTGAAAAGCCACACGTAGCACATGCTTGATTGTCTCTTTCAGGATGAAGTCCCTGATGGAATCAGATCTGGAAGTTACAAGGTAGGTGTATCTGTGTGCACAAAATGATGCAGCTTCTGGGACCAGTTTTGTGTCACTGCAGCTGATGAAAGCTGAACTGAATCAGATGGTACCTGTTGGGATGTACTTCTTTTACCCTCTTTTAACCTAAGTTTTTACCAAGTGTTGGGTGAAATGATGCCATAGAGCCTTGGAGGTGGCTGTCCTGCAGTCAGGTATTCCCTTCCACCAACATGGAGCAGTTGAGGAGACTTCTCCAAGAGCAGGTTGTTGTCAGGCACAAAATGCTCCCAGGCCAGAGGCTGCTGAGTCCCTGCAAGCAAGTCTCTGCCCAAGTCTGTGAATATCTGCAGACATCCTGTGGAAAATACAGGGTGGGATGAATCACAAAAGTGTCTCTGATGCTGTAACTGGTTGGTGCATTAAGGGAAGAATTATCACAGCAGAAAAACTGCTTTTTAATCCTCTCTCCCCACCCCTCTGCTTTTCAACCCAGTATTCGGAAGAAGCCAATAACCTTGCTGAAGAATGTGAAGAGGCCAAGAGACTTGGAGCTGTTGATGGCTCTTTAAGGTTTGACTTCTTCTTCCACAACCCTTACTTGCCTTGAGGGAAGCCTGGTGTCAGCACTGCACTGATTGCCTGTCCCCACTGTCTTTGCAGCAAGGAAACCCAGCAGGCAGTGCTGCAGTGGACACGGCACGATGACTCTTCAGACAGTTTCTGTGAAGCTGATGGTAAAGGGACCTGTTTGGTCTGACAAGTCTTGTAAAGGGATGTGAAGCACCTCTGCAGAGCTTAGAATCATAGAATGGTTTGGGTTGGAAGGGACCTTTAAAGGTCATCTAGTTCAGCTCCCTGCAGTGAGCAGGGACATCTCCAACTAGATCAGGTTGCTCAGAGCCCCATCCAACCTGACCTGGAATGTTTCCAGGGATGGGGCATCTCCCACCTCCCTGGGCAACCTGGGCCAGTGTTTCACCTCCCTCAGTGAAAGGTGCTCTAAGGTCTCCCTGGAGCCTTCTCTTCTCCAGGCTGAATACCTCAACTCTCTCAGCCTGTTTCCAGAGCAGAGCTGCTCCAGCCCTGGGATAAGTTTTTCACTGAACGTGCAACATCTCAGCGATCCCAGAGCACGCAGAGCACATACAGCATTTCCTCTCTTTCTCCCCACCCTCCCCACCCCCAATATTTTGAAAAGACAAAATATTTCTAACAGAGCTTTCCTGCTGGCCAGGGTCTTGATGTGTTTGGGGAGTTAGCAGCTTGGCTGCAGGGTGCTCAGAGTTTGCTTTGCCATCTGTGGCCTTGTGCTCTGATAGCTCCACAGCCCAGAGCTGTGCTGCGCTGCAGCGGGGGGATGCACAGCAAGTGCTCTGCACCTGCCTGTGGGGAGAGGGATGAGCTGGTTTCTCTGCTGGGAAGACTGCTCAGCGTGCACTGGAGTGGCTGATCACTTTCCTTCAGGAGTTTCTGTCACTGACCCAGCCCTGCCC